CCAATGGATGCACCTTCGCTGATGCAGGCTATCTCTAATATGGCCTTGATCACCCAGAACAGCCGAGATCTCCCTCGTGAGGCTCAGAATGAAATTGCTAACTTCTTTGGCAAGGTTGCTGACAAAATAGCGACATACACTCAGTATATGACCCCAGAGGATGCCCAGGCAGTGAGCCAAGATGCCCTACGAAGCGCGTTGAGTCTTCTGGAGGCAAGTATTGGCTGCGTACAAATGCAGCGACATTTGACTACGTGGTTACTCTTTTTTTGTGGTTATTGACAGGGATCACTTCCTTTGGATCTCCCTGGGAACAGTAAAATTTAGTTGGAAGAATGAACCCTAGGCTCGCCTAGATGCACACAATCCTCAGAGCCAGAACTATTTTAAAAAAACGTCTACAGTTTTGCGCGACCGCGAGAATGAGGTAACGACACTCGTTGATTAACGTTCACCTACCCCTAACGGAACTCCCTCGTCCCGCTCTACCTTGGGTCTCATTTCCGGGACCGTGACAGCGGCTTTAGGGGCTAGTAGTCTAGGTATATAGTATTTCCGGTAGTTTCCTTGTCTTTTCTGGCAATTCTGTCTGCCTAGACCAATAGCCGTTGTATGGCTGCTGTCAGGGCCCGAGAAAATCGACCGAAGGCAGACAGGTAAGTTTCGTGAACGGTAGGTGAACGTTCATCAACGAGTGTCAGCATATTCCGACCTAAACCGACAAGACAACGAGCTCGTGGCTCAATGGTTAGAGCGTTAGACTCCGGCCGAAAAGGTCGCAAGTTCGAGCCGCAGATTGTGCACCGTTCTGACATAATTTATTTCCCAAAACCTTACAGATGGCTTTATTTTCTGCTGGTTGCATATAATTTTATTCATAATCCCAATTGTACATAAATAGGGCCATAAAAATTCTCCGCCGGTTATCGTCAGAAATACACACATACAGTTACCAAAATGGCGATTGAGACAACGGGCTCTTGGCTTGAAGGTTAAAGCGTTAGACTCTGATCGAAAAGGTTGCGAAATTGAGCCTCGGGTGGTGCATCACTTAGAGTCTGGATATGACTGAC